GTGGGGCCAGTCAGAATTTTTACTACTGGTTCTCCGAACTACTCAAAATTTCTGCTACTAGTTCTCCAGAACTGGTCAGAACCTGCTGAAACCCACCTCTGCAACACACCTTCCTCCTCCTATTTTCCCCACAACAACAACCTTATGAGGTGAGTAGGACTGAGAGAGAGTGGCAGGCCCAAAGTGATTCAGCTGGCTTTCAGATCTAAGACAGGATTTAAACTCACAGGCTCCAACTTTCTAGCCTGGTGCCTTAACCACTAGAGCAGTGATGGCGAACCTTTTCAGCACCGAGTGCACAAACCGGAACGCCCGTGTGCGTGCTGCCCACCTGGTCTTCTGGTTTCCGGCGTGCGCATGCGCACTGGCTAGCTGGTCTTCGGGTTTCCAGGGCACAAAGATCAGTTGGCTGGCATGCATGCGCACACCGGAAACCAGAAGAACAGCTGGCAACGGCTCTGCGTGCCACCTCTGGCACGTGTGCCATAGGTTTGCCATCATGGCACTAGAGCAAACTGGCTTTTGGCTGGAGTTTCTGAGAGGAAAGAAAACGACCTGCACTGAAAAGCAGTATAACATGGACAAGCAGATACACATAATGTTGTGATTTTGTTGAAGAACAGAACAAAAAATGTCACCGAGCATGGGCTTTAGGTTTTGTACTTTCCTTCCTAAAGCAAGTGCTCAGTCTTGGCACATATAAATCAGTGAGGTTTAGTTAAAATCTCAGAAATGTGAATAAATGATTAGGAGCTAGTTTTCAGCACTCACGATTATGCTTTCTTATGGGTGGGGCCCAGTCATAAGAAAAATATAAGTCAAAAGAAAAATACAGAGATCATTTAAATGTATAATTTAACATTTATGAGCAGGCAACTTTCCTTTTTAAAAAATTGCATAATCTTGATTATGGGTAATATATTCATTTTACATGTATCTTCTAGTGCTAAGAAAACATACAATTAAAAGATGTTTTGCTGCTTTTCCACAGAATTCATCATCTACCAAGCCACTTCGGCACATTCTGTTTTTTCACTTTTTCCATGTAAACCACCACATAGACAATTTCTTTTATTTTTCAATTTCACATGTAGAAAATCAATTTATTCCCCATAACATTAAAGCCACATCACTTTTGCAATAGCTTGAGGACCTTGTTCCAGATCACCCATTGCCAATATCATTACTGTATGCAATGAAATTGTGCATGCGTTTACAAAGTCTAGTGGAATACTCTTTGCAAAATGTTCATGTGTAATATATCAGGCTTTGTGTGTGTGTACACACACACATACACATATATATTCTTTCTTCTTTCCCCATTTTTGCAATTTTAGGTGCTCCTTTAAAAAAAAACTCTTAAAACTTAATGCATATTTAGTATCAGTGACTGTGTGTTGTATTGCACAGTCATAGTGACAAATATGTTTAGACAGTAAGAGTCTAAAAAATAAAAAAGCAAAGAGTTTTCATCTTGTTCAAATGTTCTTTCATTTGAAAGCCTGCGTGACTTCATCCCATAAGGTTGATGAGAAAATAAATCTACATAGAGCTATTAAACAGTAAGCGCAAAGAAACTGCAGTGTTGGATTTCTGCTTTGTTCAATTGATTTTGAAACTGCTCCTATCCTTCTGTGCTGGAATGCCCATCTAAACTTCCTTTTAAGGAATGGTGGTAATTAATATAATTTGGGATATAGTTTTCTGCCACCTAGAAAACCACATGAATGTGTTGAGTATAGGCAAATTTGTATCTGTTTAGTAATAAAAGATGCAGTAATCACACGGAAGCTCTTCAGATGTTTCTGAATTACAATTGCTAGCATCTCTTGCCATTAGTCATAGTGAGAGCAAAGATACCCAATTTTTGCCTTACTGTAGCCCTAAGTACATCCAGTTAAGAGTAAAATCCAGTAAATGCAATTTTCTTTCAAGTGGAAATAAGTAGGGTTATATTATAATAAGGCAATTATTGATCTTCTGCCTTTCTTTCTCCACCCCCCACCCCCCATTCTGCAGCTGCTTACAGTATGTTTTTGATTTGAGAAATTTGTTTTTAGAAGCTGTTCCATAGAGAAAATATTGTTACAACTAGAACTGCATGTGTGTGTGTTTTCCCCCCAGGCAAAATCACTCAAATTTAAGTTACTGTTGATCAACAGCTTTTCCTGGAAAATGAACATGCATACTGAGTTCATACATCCATAATTTTTTTTTTTTTAAATACAGGTTGTTTTGTGCAGCCCCAAACCCTATTTTGGTTTCACTCTGCAGTGTTTATTTTTGTGTGTGTAGGGGTGGGTAGGGATTGAATCTAGAGAGATTAGAAGGTGGAATACACACATCTTTAAATAACTGTCAATAACAGCTATCAGCACATGAATTGACTCATTTGAATGTGTGAAAACAAACTGTAAGAAATGAGTCACCATCAATCTGTGCCTTTCATCCCAGCAAATATGATCCCTTTTAAACCCAAATGAGAGCCTTTGAAAAGAGACAGTGATCCTCGATGACTATGTATCTCTGAGCCCACCTTGCATTCTCTATGTAAAAATTATTGGAAGGGGGTCATTTAACCACCCACGCCACCCTATGAATCCACAGACTTCATTTTGTAATTCCTTTCGATAATCTGTTAGTCAGCCAGAATTATTTTAGCAGATAAGAAAGTCAGGTTTCTCTCAAAAAGCTAAGAAGGGTCAGGCTTCATCAGTTAAAACCACCAAAAAATTTCAGACATGTAATCTGTGCTAGAAAATATCAAAAACATCCACAAACAATCCAGTAACAAACCAGGTTTTTATTATTCATCAAGAAAATGGGATACTTGTGTCCATGAAATTACCAGAAATTAGAGAATTTTTTTTCTTTTCTAGCTATTAATCCTCAGCCCTATATATGTTACCAATTTGCCTTTATTTATCGATTTGTATTGTACTTCCCAATTTCTGTAGTGACCTAGGCAGCTGATCAGAAGTAGATTCAGTATATTCTTTCTTTTATCCTGGAACTCAGAAGCTTCCTTGACTATCCCGGACTTGTTTAGCTTTAACTTTAACTTTAACAGGACTCAAATTAATGGTGCTGTAACACAATTATTCTCATCCTGTCTTACTTCAGTCCTATCCTGTCTGAAAAAAGCCTATTGTTTCAAAAAGGACATTGATAAGTTTATTGACATTATTATAACTGTATTGCCTTTCATATTTACGATAGGGCTTAAAGGCTTCAAGGTTTAGTGCCTGACCCCATGTCCTAATGCAATTACTTTCTGAAGCCTACACGGTACACCTGCTGATCTATTGCTTTGGCAGCCTTGGTAGCTGAGAGACAAGAGATCAGAAACAGATTCCAAACCACATTCTCTGCACCATCGCACTGTTCTTGATATATGTGTATCTGTCACTTGATGGCTGCAACGTCATGTCTTTTGGTAATGCTAGTCACAACTGCAATACCTGTAAAATTGTACAGACTGTAACTTCCCTGTGTTTCCCTGGAAAATTAAATCCCAACATGCTAGTTCCTGCAGGTATGTTGTTCCAATATGTTCTCTTCATTGCAGCATTCAATGTAAACAAGTGTTTGTCTATCAATCCCAAATACAGAGTCTTTCAATAGACCTGATGCATATATAAAGTGTAATAAAAATGAGGATTCTATGCTCGTCTGAAAACAATTAAGTTTCATCCTGGTTCTTATTTCAGTTTCAGAAGTTGCTTTTTCTGTGTGTTCAATGATAATAATAATGGGTAACCTTCTTCAACCTGTTTGTCCTCCTCTAATATGTCACTGCTGGCATTTTGGGAGAATACAATTTGGACCCCATGTTAAGCTATAATTTCCATTATTCCCAGATTGCATTACCATTATAGGATGGTGGGATGGGAATATAGCTTGGCTAAGTGTCAGATTGTGGAAGGAATTTCCAATGCTTTCCTTATTCCTTCTCTAGTATTTATTTAGACATAGGTACCTGTGTGTGCCAGCTACTCCACAGATTCTACTTTGATTTTCATTCTAACGACGAAACTGTATTCACCCATTTCCAGCCCTACACCCTGCAATAGCAATTGTCTCAGTTTTTCAGGCACTTTTGCCTGAAAAATCTCATTGGAAAAGAGTTTTCACTGCGATCCTAACCATTAGCAGGGAAAGGGGGTGGGGGTATCCAGTTCGTCGGGGCTGCTTCTGTTTGTTCTCAGCTATTGCCCACTTCAGGGTATTGCTGATCTAAAGATCTTACGTCGTCTTTTACCAGCCTCCTGGCTGCTTCACTTACTGTAGTTAGTCATATGTGCCAACTTGCTATATTGCAAAAAAGAAGTGGGGGAAAAGCTACGAGGCACACGGTCAAGTCCGTGTTTTGCTTAGTCAGAGGTGGAACAAGGGAAGGATTTGGACCGATGGCGCGGAGGAATCTCGCGTTTCCTCAGGGAGCGTGGCTCAGGGACGAATCGGCAGAGGAAAGCTTGAGAGATCTGGCGTTGTCAGAAGGCAGATCGCGCTAAATAACTGAGATTGGGTTTAGAAAAAGAACAAAAAAAAAAAAAAAGGAAAGCACATGGTGGCTCAGAGCATTTCGTTTACAACTGCAACGCCATCCGGTATTTGGCGATTCGGAGTAAGCCCCTCTGATTTCAGCGAGGCTTACTCTTAGGTAAATATAGGTCGACTCGCAGAAGCAAAGCAGGTGTAAAGCTTCGGAGGCCCGAGGTCGGGCGCGTCTGCGGCTTTTCTCTCGGCGCTCGTCTTTGTGAGGGCATCGCTCCACATCTCGGCTCCCTCAGGGCGCCCCGCGAGCGCGCGCGCCTCCCTTCGTCCCATTCCACCACCCCCCCTCACCCCGCGCGCGGTGCCTTGTGTGTGTGTATCTGTGTGGGTGCGCGCGCGCGCGCTTGTCTCGCAGGGAGGGGCGGGCGGGCAACCTGAGCGACCAATCGCAGCGCCGTTCGCGGGGAAGGAGGGTGCGAGAGCGCCCTGGGTGGGAAAGCGAGCGGCGAGGCGCCCGCAGACCGGACGGGCGAAGGGAAGAGCGAGCAAAGGTATAGATATTATCGAGCGCGGCTGAGTGAGCGGCATCGATTTTTCCCGGGACGACGGAGCCGGCATGGAACCCAACAGTCCCCGTAAGATCCAATTTACTGTCCCGTTGCTGGAGCCTCATCTCGACCCGGAGGCAGCGGAGCAGGTTGGTTAGCAACGTTCGGGAGCGCCTACTTTTTTTAGGGGGGATATAACACCCACCCACCCCCGCTTTCCCCCAGTGACAAGTTGAACGGAAAGTAAACCTCAGCCTGAGGTTAACCTTGACTCGGATCTGTTTTCTAGGTGGGCTTTCTAATCTCGGGACATCGTCCTGAAGTAATCGTGTAACCCCCGGTCCCCCCAAACACGCGTTTTCCCATGTATTTCCAGTGAGATTCATTGCTAGGGAAGCGTGCTAAGGACAGACGCTGGGCACATGCGGAACATCATCATCTCATCCCTGAGAACTGATTTAAAGTATCTGCTGCACTCCTAGCGTGTGTGATCTCTGGCGGATTTCCAGAACGTCCGTTTTGGGGTTAACCTCCAAATCTGCTAGTTTCCCCCAGAAAGCCCCCTTAACAGAATCTGCTACAATAGCCTCTTTCTCGTTGTGTTTCCCAACTACTAGCTTAGAGAATATTGCTGACTTTCATACTGGAGGTGACATTGCCATCTTGGTTAGGATCGATGATTGAGAGGCAGGCTTAAGCTTTGCCAGTGATGGGACCTTCTTTTGGGTATAGGTCTTTCTCCAGCTGCAGTCTTCCCTGGCGTTTTATCCAGGTTAAGCATGTTCTCCCTATTCTGATGCTCCCTCCTTTCCTCACCCAAATACCCAAGCATGGCAACATAACAGACTTCACCTGGTTCAATTAACTCAGATTTTCTGGATTCACACAATCATCATCAATTCACTAAACCACACCTTAAAATTAACCAAGGTAGGCTTGGTTAAAGACAAAGCTGGCCAAAATTGACTAGATCATGGATTGCTTGGGACCCCTGTATATTGATACAAGTATGCCGTTGGGAAATTGGAGCTCCCCGTGGACAGCCCTGATATATTGGGATTAGGCTTCGCCAACACTGTAAGCAGGGAATAGCTAGCCAGAGGAGTTTCTTCTGGGTTGCGGGAGGAAGGGAGATGGTCTGATCACCCTGGCATGTTATGGGGGTTGGGGCTGTCAGATGTAGCAGGCTGCTTCCATTTGATCAGAAGAACTCAATCGGGGCTTATTTGGGGAAATACATTGTTTTGTGACTGTAGCCAAACTCCCCTCTTCTACACAGTTATTGCAAGCGTTCAGAATTCTGAGCTCCCACTGTTTGTGCCCCAGAACTGTCACTGTTTTTTAATTTAATTGACCTCTTGCTTTCTCTGGCTCCTCCTCTACTACTGCTTTCCATAGTACCATCCTCTGGAAAGAGAGAAAGTAGTCATGCCCGTATCCCTGCTGTGAGGAGCTTCCCCTGCAGATGAAGCTGCTCCTTATAAATCCAGGCTGTCTTCCCCCCCCCCCCCCCTTTCCTATACTCTTGTCTCCTGTTGGAAGCTCTTTAAGGGAACAGAGTTGTCTTCCCTAATTCCTTTCCCACTTCCTTTTCATTATGTTACATATTGATTGTTTTAGCTTTGTTGCAATTTCATTATTAGGTTCTAATGAGCTTGATTTTGTTGCTTAGCTTCAAAATGGATACACAGGAAGCCATATGGGAATAGTTGGGAGGGAGGGAAAAAAATAACCCAGGGTCTCTCCAGTGGTGTTGAATTAACACCTCTATAATGTGCAGCCTTCCCGGTTCTCCTGCCCTGCTCTCCAGCTCTTGGGATAAATAGTAAAGTTATTTTTTTTCAGCTGCAGTGCTTTTTCTTTTAGCTCATTGATCCACTTCAGTGGATAGAACTTGCTGTCCTATGCTGAGCAATAGTCACCTTTATGGATTAAGTCATCTTTAGGAACCCAAATCTACTCTGAATCTCCACATCACTTCAAGCAATAGCAGTCGTTGGAGGAAGGCAGGGAAACCTAATTGCTCAGGTTAGCTTGAGCCTGCATTTGGAATGACAAGCTGTTGCTGATATATTAATTCTGTCTTCTAAGCTTTAAAAAAAAAAGGAGTTAAAATCTCCTTTGAGTTGAGCTTGACCTTTTATAACCTCATAAATACGTCCATGCTGTTTTCTTCATAACAGGATGGAAATTATTTGCCATTACCATTTGCCATTCTGGCACGTAAAAAAAAAAAAAAAACCTGGTCTAGCCTGCAGCTGTGGATTTCCTGCATAGGAACTGACTGTATGCTTGGTCCAGACAAGACGGAGAGTCAGCTATGGCAGGTTTCCCCATCTTTTCACTTCACCAGCTTTCTTGCACAGGCAGTCCCTGTCAACAAGGGGCAGCTCAGAGACTTGTTTCTTTCTGGGAAGTATCCCTGAGGAGAGTTTTTGAGAGAAGCTAATAAAAGCTGACCTTTACAACAAAAGAGACCAAAAATCTCCTCAGTGCTTTCATCTATAGGTAGAAGAAATCAAAGTCTTAAAGTAAGCCTGCTTTAGATTCTTCTACCTGAAGAAATCAAGACTGCCCTGGCAAAGGCCCATTGCTTCTTTCATCAGAGAACAGAAAATTCTAAATTCTAAATTCTGTCTTTAAGTTTGAGTACAGTCAAAGGAGTTGGATGTTGGGAGTTGGATTTCAAGAAAATCTGGATGGCCTTCTTCCAGTGTAGACAGTCCTGGGCTTAGATTTTTTGATTTAGCCAAACCCAGGTTCAAGTGATTCTGCTATTTTACCAAAAGCTTACCCTCCTCCCCAGGTTACCATTTCCCCCCCCTTTCCTTGAGTGAACATCTTGGGTCACCATGATTCTTTACTGGTCCTACAGCCTGCAGTTGCCTGGTCCACCACCTACCACCCACCTTTTCAGAGGTGTGGTGATTTGGCTAAGATGGACTGGTTTAGCTTTGGATGACAGCAAGAGTAGTGAGAAGCATTTGTTGGAAATGAAAGATTGCTTTAGGCATTCTTGCCCCATATTCTGATTTTCTATCATTTTGATTACTTGGAGTTTGGTGACTCATAACTGAATATGTAAATTGACTATATTGAGAAATGAGGAGTCCTTGGTGCTCTCTGAGCTTGTTTGTTTTCTTGCAGATGTTTCATTACCCTAACTAGGTAACATCATCAGTGCTGAGTTACAAATATTCGATGCTTTCAATCCTGAGCTACAAATATTCTCCTTCATAGGTATATTGAGAAACTTTGAGCCTTCAGTGACAGATGCTTTATATTAGGTGTAAGCAAGTGGCACAATCTTCAAAGGTCACTGTAAGGTGAGGAGACATAAGTATCAACCTGCACAGGGTTGAATATAACTTGGAGTCTGAGGAGAGGGAGGGGAGGGGGGAGGGGAGGCAGGAGGGGAGGAGGGAGGAGAGAGAAAAACTGTCTGCTTTATGGCTCCAGACTCTAATTCTTCAAGCAATGAATGGAAAACGTAATGTGGCTACAATTAGAGGAAGAAATAGGGTTATAAATTTCATTACCCCCACCCCACCCACCCCATAATTCAACACCAGTTACCCAAAGCACAAGCAGAGCCTCTCATTCTGTCTCTGATTGGTCTGTTATTGATCTGCTGGCCACATTGCACAGTATATGCTGGATCTTTCTTTTTGCCTTTTATTTCCCGGAATTGAACTAACTTTCTCGATTTGCCTCTTTCTATGGAATAGCATGGGTGGTCTCAATTTGAAGCAGATAAAGCACAGTATGTAGTTTTTTAATTTTAATTTTAGTTTAGTTTTGCTTGTCACTGAGCCAGCTGAACTATCATAGCTTGGATATTGTGGCTTTGTAGAAGTTCCTTCCAAGTGGTGTTGGAGTTGTCAGCAACCTGGGTATATATTAAACTGTTACAGAAAGCCAGCACTCTTTTAAAATATTGGAAAAAGGGATGCTGAATGAATCAACTTTGATGAATTTCTTAGAATAAACCAATTGTTTGTTTTGAATGTCATCAACCTCAAGCAATTCAGCCTAGGGCTCCTTCCCTTCTTTTGGTTCTTGACACTTTTTATTAGAGATTTCAGGAATTGAACCCAAATGTTTCTGGAATTGGGATTAGTGTTCTACCAAGGTTTCTGGGGGAGCATGCCAAGCTACAATGAGCATGGCAAAGACTGAAGAACCAATGAATTACCCAGTTCTTCAGAAAGAGAAGACAGAAGACCACTTATATATGTTCCTGAAGGCTTGTTCCCTTTATCATTTAAATTGGACTCTAGCGGGGACTAAAAATTCCAGGCAAAAAGAAAGAAAGTGTACACCTACTTTTGATTTTGATCAGTATTGGAATTTACAAAATGACACAACACATTATAATACTTGAAATATTAAAGAATGGAATACATAACAGAAGTCATTTAGAATGGAAATACAAGTGACAGGCCTGGATAAGGGTTTTTTGCTGGATGAACAAAAGAAACTGACTCAAGTTTTAAAATTTAAAGGGGAAAGGGTGATGACCTTGATGTCTTTTTATTGGATTTACAAAGGAGGCTTGTTAAAAGCCTCCATCAAAGAAACCTATGGGGTGAAACAAAGAAGAATTGAAGAAAGAACATATCTTATGACAATATTTAAACAAAGATTAAGATTTTTCAGAAATAGAAGGAAGAAATATAACATTGGTTTATTTGATCAAAGTTAAAATAAGAAATAATTTTATAAATTCTGGCAACCTTTTATGGACCTTTTGCTGGCACCAGATTGAAAAGTTGATATGTTATGGACTTCTTTATCAACAAGGAATAGGTTATGACAGACCTGGGCATTTTACAGCCCAGGGGCCACATCTGGCTCACAGGCTGTCCCACTCCAGGCCACAGCATTGGCAGCATCAGTGCTTGAGTGTTGGCAACGTCAGGGGCAGGACATTGGTGTGGGGTTGGCAGAGGAGATGGGCTGGCATCCCTAGAGGGGGTGACACCAGGACAGCATCAGGGGCAGGGCAGCAAGGGCAGCCCTCCACAACGGTCTCAGTTTCTCATGTGACTCCTTGGTAAAATTAATTGCCCACCCCTGGGTTATAGGTTGAATAGATATCCTTATCCAGGCCTGTCACTTTATATGAACCATGGGGGCACAGTGGTTA